TATTAGAGGGGATGTATAGTCACTCTCGCCCGGTACTATGACTCCCAACTCCAGCATTTTATCGATCTCCTCTTTCATGATCTGCTTTTGCACGGGGGAACAACGATACGGCTTGCTACGGATTGGCTCCTCACAAGTTAGCTCGATATCGTGCTCGATCACCGTCGTGTTTCCGGGACGGTCCGAAAACACGTCTTGAAACTCGGAAACAATCCTTCTCAGGTCCTCCTTCTGGACTTCACTTAACCTAGGCTCTAGGTTCAACTGCTCCAAGATTACCTCCGATCCCCTTTCGATTACATCACTAGAATTCAAAATTTCTTCTCCCTCTTCCTCTGCAGCATTCAACAGCAGATTTACGACCGCTTGACGTTGAACGTAGGGTTTCATCAAGTTACTGTGGTAAATTTTGTTCGGGCGCCTTCCTAATTTCACTTCATAATTGGTATCAGAAAGCTTCGATATTACTTTGGCAGGCCCTTCCCAATGAACCTCAAGCTTGTTCTTTTTGGACGGCCGCAGCAGCATTACTTGACTACCAACTTCAAATGTGCGCTTCTTCGCCGATTTGTCGTAGTACTCCTTCGACAATACTTGTGCAGCCTTCATGTGGCTTTCCACCAGATCTTTCGTTTTTCCAAGCCTCTGAAGGAGGTCTAGAACATACGCGACTACATTAGGGTCCTCATCGAATCCCTCCCAGGACTCGCGTAGCATTTGCAATGGTGTTCTCAAACTCCTGCCATACACAAGCTCTGCAGGGCTAAAACCTGTGCTCTCATGAGGAGCTGATCTTAAAGCGAACATAGCGGGAGGAATACACGCTTCCCAGTCGCATTTGTGCTCGTAGCAGAGAGCTCTCAGTATCCGTTTCAGAACGGAATGCATACGCTCTACCGGATTAGATTGCGGGTGATGGATCGAGCTGTGCACTACTTTTATTCCACATCTATCCATAAAGGTAGAGGTAAGGCAGCTGGTGAAGACACTACCATTGTCGCATTGGATTTCAGAAGGAAATCCGACGCGTGCAAAAATGGATAGCAGCGCATCCACGACATGAGGGGAATTGAGCTCCTTAAGGGGTATCGCTTCCGGAAATTTTGTGGCTACACAGAGAGCCGTCAGGATGTACCGACAACCTTGCCTTGACTCTGGCAATGGCCCGACTATATCAATTACTAGGCGCCGAAAAGGTTCTGTGATAATCGGCACAAGCTTCATGGGTGCCTTCCACTTGTCCGTGGATTTCCCCGCTCTCTGACAAGTGTCGCATGAGCGCACAAAGTCTTCGATATCCTTCCAGCATTTCGGCCAATAAAACTGAAGGGAAACTCTAGCCTTGCTTTTTTTTATGCCGAGATGCCCTGCCCATGCGTTTTCATGCGCCAGTTCCAATAGTTGGCGACGATACTTTTGTGGCACTAAGAGCTGCTCATACTTGCGACCTTGCGCATTTGTGTAGCTCCGATACAAAAGCCCCGCTTTCTCAAAAAAAGAAACATTCTTTTTCTTTTTTTCTAAGTTTACGCTTTCCATTAGCGCTTTAATCGAGAGGTCCTCACGCTGCTCTCGAATGAGCGTTTCTCGATCAACCCTCGACAGCTCACTCCAACTTTCCGCTACAGGCGAGAGCGTTGCAGCCCTCTCGCTCTGATCCAATGGCGCCAGGTCGCCTTCCCTTTTTGAGAAGCTGCTCCGAGTTGTTGGAGAAAAGATAAGAAAAACGACCATTCAGCGCGGCAGACACAGCCGCTTCGGTGCAAAGCTTACCGAACGGGCCTTCAATGACAACGGTGGCGATTGGTAAGCGAACACTCTGCTCCTCGGCGACTTGCCTGATCCACGCGCATTCTCCTGTGAAGTCATCCGGAGACACCAATGAAGGATGGACAACGTCCATGGTTGCCGCTGAGTCTCTAAGTGCTTGGCACGTTTTCTCATTGACCCTAATTTCTTGGAGATACGGCTCCAACAACCGCATGTTTTTTTCTGATTCTCGGATCGTTGCGAAGGCAAACTTTTCCTGACAGTTTCTCGCGATGTGCCCTTCCTTTTTACAGTTGTAGCAGATTAGCGGCTTCCGTTTGTTTTCCGGTTCTAATGCCTGTGTGGTAGAAACCTCACTCGATTTCTCCGCTTCTGTTTGCCCTTCCCCTACACTGTCCTTCGTAAGAGACGGGTCCTTCTTGAAATTACGGTGCGGAGCGGGTTTCCGTTGATCAGGTTTCCTTGAAAAGCCCTCTTTCCTTTCATCCTTTTCAACGCGCGCTGCCCTGCTATGCAACTTTCGGCGAGTATAATACTCCTCAGCTAACTCAGCTGCCTTGTTTAACTGTACGTCCCCAAGTCTGTCCTGCAGCCAAAGTTTGACATCCTCCTCGATGCAGCGGTAGAATTGCTCCAATGCAACGCATTCCACCACTTTATCGCGGTCGTCATAAACACCTTCGCCCTTGAGCCATTCAATCAAATCGGCTTTAAGACGAAACGCGAAGTCAACGTGTGACTCATTCCCCTTTCTAGCATACCGGAACCTTTGCCTGAAAGCCTCGGGTGACAATTTATAACGTCTTAAGAGCACTTCCTTAACCTCGTCATAGCTCTCAAACGCTTCCCTCGACAAGCAAGTTATCGCGTCGGACACTTCGCCGGGAAGAAGAGCTAACAGGTTCCGCGCCCAAAGACACCGCTCCAAAGCGTTTCGCTCACAGACGTGTTCAAACTTGACGAGATACTTCGCCATGTCCTCGCCTACTACGAACGGTGGCAGTTGGTCCCGAATTCTAAAACCGCTGACCTGAATCGTCGGAGAAGCTACGCTAGGCGCCTGCGAACACTGTAGGATTGCCAATTCTAGTCGTTTCATCTCAAGGCGCTCCTGTCTCTCGGCCTCCTCGCGACGTTCGCGCCTTTCAGCTTCTTCACGTTCGCGAGCTTCGCGCCTTTCAGCTTGTTCACGTTCGCGAGCTTCGCGCCTTTCAGCTTCTTCGCGAGCTTCGCGCCTTTCAGCTTCTTCACGTTCGCGAGCTTCGCGCCTTTCAGCTTCTTCGCGAGCTTCGCGCCTTTCAGCTTCTTCACGAGCTTCTCGCCTTTCAGCCTCCTCACGTTCGCGAGCTTCTACTTCTCGCCTTTCAGCCTCCTCACGGCGTGCTTTAATATCCACCCAGGCCTCATCGACTTCCTCAGCCGACACTCCCTCATCCTTCATGATATCAAGGATCGCTTGCTTTCGTTTCGCACGGCCCAAAGTAATGCCGAGTTCCTCACAAATTTCGATGAGTTCCTTCACTTTAAGGTTCTCCATCGTTCACACTAGCCTCTTGCTGTTTGCCCCTGTTAAGAATCTACTTGCCGTACCCACTATAAGCCTACTAGCAAGACGCGCAAGCAATTTTTCACCCTCCCGTGTTTACCACCTCCGCATTAACTTTGGTTTCAAAGCACTTCAACTTGGCTTGAAACGATCAAAGCTCACTTCAATGCTTCACACAGCCCTTTCTCTAAACTACTACAACCTGAGCTAGAGTAGTCTGGTGAACTGAGGGGAAAACATCAGGCACTCACCGCATCGATGTCGCTGACGCCGGCCGATCCCGCAGCTGCCAACCACTGTTGCGAAAGACGGCGACGCCAACACGGTGCCGAAGGCGCCACTGCTTCCGACTCCGCCGGGAAGGTAACCAGCCGTTTGGTAGCGTATGTTTCTCAGCTCGCGACTGCTTCTGCGCAGAGCTGATCAGACGAGCGGACGAGACGACGGTGAGTCAAACAAGGTTTATGTACAGCATATATACAGAGGCGTTACAATTTCGGCACTGGGGCCGACAGAGACGCGAAGAGCCGAGCTCTTCTCTCTAACACATAGTTCAGCCTTTCGCCTAAGACCGCTGATCGCGACACGCCGCAGGGCTTCTTTTATTTGCACCGGGTCCAACCAAAACGTCCAATCAGAAGCCCCGCTGGTCGTCAGAGCCGACTCCTCCAATGGGGTTCGCCGCGCGATGCGTCAGACCACCAGACATGAGGACGCCGGCTCGCTGTCACGTGCGCAACTGACTCAATGCACGTGGGCCAGAGATGCGCCGCGCGTGTTCACGCCGTGGAGTTGTTCGCGCCCGGCGGACTGCGGGCTGGCCGTGACCCAGATTGCCTGTTTCAGAGGCACGGACGTTTGACGAGGACTCGCTGGCATAACAACGTATCATTTTTAAAGCATTTTATGTCTCCTTAGCACACATCATTTGTCATTGCCATAATTTTACTCTATATTTATTTTATGCACCTACAGCGACTGTTTTTAGGCCCATTTACAGCCACATCACATCTTTTTTATCCATACTGCATATCGCACAGTTCATTATCAATGTTCTGGTACTTTTTGGCCGCATCTGGCACTTGCGCCACTAAACTCCACTAATCATCATCATCTGCCTTCGTCAGCGTCATGACCCCGTGAGAATATGGTATTGGGCAAGCTACGTGAGGGTATGGGATGTGGGCAGGCCCCTGGTAAGGTTTCAAGTGAGAAGAAAGCAGCACACATTTTTACGTGTGCATTACACGGGTGTGCCCATGCAATGTCCTTGACACACCTGTTTTGCAGAGTGTGGCATTTTCAGGAACTAAAATCACCGTTGCCTGTGTACTCCTGAATATCTTAGGTTTCTGGCAGGTAAATCTGCATAGATATAGCTCATTTTCTTGTTTTTATTCGTATGTGTTCATTCCCGGTAGCATTTAATTGGCAGCCTCCTACAGGCAAGTTGACGTGCCATTGATGAGGCCAGGGATCTGACACATGGCTGGCCTGTCATCCCTCTGCTGTTGTGTTTTGCACTTGCCAGGCCCTGATTGGGCACTTGCGTTGGTCATTCACAGAGCTGAACTTTCCTTTGTCTACTTGGTCACCAGATTTTATTCAGCTGTTCTTTTTTTAATCTGAAAATTGCATTGCTTGTCCTGTGACTTTTTTATTGTAGATTTAATCTGTCTTGCAGGCAAGGCCAAGCGTTTGAAGCAGGCCAAGGATGAAGCTGAGATTGAGATCAACAGGTTCAAGGCTGAAAAGGAGCAGCAGTTCAAGGAGTATGAAGCCAGGGTATGTCACTCATGGCTTCATGTGCACATGCTGCCTTATTTGTTCACAATGAGAGAGCCCATCCTCAAAAAAATTCAGTGATCTTGCGTGTTCAGCTTTACAAGGGTTTTTGATCAAAAGTAGCTCATCATTTAAGAAAGGAACTTTAGGCAAAATGCCTATTTTTTCCTGGAGTCTGTTCAGAGCCCATTTAACATATAAAAACCAACTAGAAGATGAGAAAAGTTTTGATCACATATATTTATTGAGTCTATAAGTGCGTATTCTGAGGTTCGTGCCTATATCAGCTTTTCAGTGCCTAAAGATGCCTTTTCACGTTTGAGTGATTGTTTTGATTATATGAGCAGTTCATATGGAGGAAAACAAGAAGCGCTCAGTGTGGCCATAATAACGGACAACACGTGCATAGCGTGCTAGTGTTTTTTTTTTTTCATCCGTGTTTTTATATGCTGGTAAAGTGCAATTATGGTTCAACGTAGGGTCGACACGTGCATTTGCACTGTCATGTCGGCGAAAACAATTCATGAGTCGACGCACTGCCACAGCCAATGTATATGTAGACTCTGCCGATGCGCTCCCACACGTGTGACGTTTGCCAGTGCTCTGATAACGTTGCACTATCAACACGCCTTTACGTGAGCGGGGCCTGTACCCCAACGATGAAAAGCGAGGCTAGCATCTATAGCGTTAGTGGGCCCTCCTAAAAGATTTCAGTCACTTGGTTCGAAAGTAGTGCAGCATGGCAGTTGAGTGAGCAAGGCTATAGTAGCCACCTTAGCTAGAGTGCACTGTAGCGAAGCGAGGAGAGGCCAACGCCAGTGTACCTCCTGCCCCTTGAAGGTCCCCATCGCTATAGGTTCGAGAGTGGTGCAGCTCGGCGGCTGCATTTGGGAAGCTAGAGAAACTAAGCTAGGCTAGCGCTGCCGCTTGCAGGATACACGCAAGTTTCATTGACATTTATGTACCTCATAAAAGCAGCAGTCGGATGTTGGTAGTTGATCAAGGACATCATCTATTCGGGGGGGAGGGTATACGTCCTTCTTTGTTATCTTGTTGAGTCTGCAATAGTCAACGCAAGTAGTGTTCCATCCTTTTTTTTTTTTCACTAACACCACCGGTGACGCCCTTGGGCTCTTTGTAGGCTGGATAATGTCGCAAAGCATCTCATCAACTTGTTTCCTTATGGCCTTTCGTTCTCGCATCGAAACTTTGTACGGACTCTGACAGAGTGGCGTGGCATTTTCTTCTATTACAATTCGATGTCTCATGACAGGGGTCTGTCGAATTCTCGATGACGCCGAAAAGAAGTTCTTGTATATGAGGAGCAGGTTTTCGAGCTGCTCTTTATTAATGTCGAATGCTGGTTGAAGGGCTTCAGTCATCGGAATAGATTTGGCGGAATCGGTGAGGGCGAAGTGTTGCTGGCTTCCAGTATCTCTTCTAATGTAGGCAACCGTTGTGCCTTTGTTCACATGCTTGTACTCGTTGCTGAAGTTCGTGAGCATCACTCTTGCATTTCCTCCTCGCAGCTCGGCTATTCTTCTGGCGACGCAAATTTCGCAGTTGATCAAGAGGTGTTCGTCGCCTTCAACGACGCCTTGCATGTCTGTCAATTCTCGAGTGCCGACAGAAATGCTTACGCTGCAGCGAGGAGGAATGGTGACTTGGTCTTCCAGCACATTCAGGGTGTGCCTTCCTGACGACGTGTGCGGTGGCAGTGCTTTTTCTGTGGATATTGTTATGGACATTGTTCTCAGATCGGTGACGGCTCCATGGAGGCTTAAGAAGTCGATACCAAAGATGACATCTCTCGAGCAATGCTTGCAGTACGACGAAGCTTGCAGGATAAATCTTACGGTTAATAGTGACTGGCTGTGCAGGTGCCTGCCGGTGTAACTAAATGGCCTCTGGCTGTACGGATTTCAGGGCCTTCCCAAGTTGTCCTAACTTTTTTTAACTTCGTGGCGAATGTCCCCTAATGACGGAATAGTCGGCTCCAGTGTCGTGAGCTGTGATGCTGTGGTCGTCGATGTGGACGTCGAGGTCACTAGTTTGTCTCTTCGCATTGTGGTTAGATCGCGACGTCTGATCTCGGCTACGACGGTTGGTACCGCTGCTTGTACGTTGCGTCATCAAGTCGTCTTCTGATCCGGAAGTTTTCATGTCGGGGCAACGTCCATGTTTAGACGGGTTCTTCAGGTTTCGTCGTGGCGGCGACGGAGGATCTTCGGCAGTTCGTCCTTGCTGCCCTTAGTTTCCCGGGTGAGGGCTAGGAGACTGGCCCCGGGTTGGGCCAGTGTACGGTGGGCGGTGATGCGACATGTAGCGGCTAGGTGACGGCGAACGAGAAGGTCCTCGAGGTGTCCACTGCGCTGCTGCAAGGTAGTCTGTGATGTCACATGGTACATGGTGTGATGTCACATGCACATGGCACACAGACATAAGCCTTGAAGTTGTGCACTGTGAAGAGCGGCGGTCATACTGCCTTGTGCACATTTAAAGTGCCTTCTCGGTCATGGTGGCCTCGGTGAGGAATTCTTCAACCGTCTTCGGCAGGTTGCGCACAAGCCTCACAAAGAAGTCTTCTTTAACATCTCGCATAAGGAATCGGACCTTCTTGTCCTCGGTCATGGTGGAGTCAGCGTGGTGGAACAACCGGGTCATCTCCTCGACATAAATTTTGACGTTCTCGTTGGGGAGTTACACACACCTCTCCAAGATAGTCGCACCACGTTCTTTGCAGACGTCGCTCGTGAACGTGTAGGAGGAACGTCGTCCGAAAGACATCCCAGCTTCGCAGTGTGGATTCCCGGTTCTCGAACCACGTCTTTTGTGGTGTCTTCTAGGTAGAAGTATATGCGATGTAGTTTTTCTTCGGTGTCGCAGCCGTTCAAGGAGGCGACTCGTTCGTATGTCTCGAGCCAGGTTTCTGGGTCTTCATTAGGTGCTCCATGGAAGCTCGTTGGCTCTCTGCGTGGGTGCATCAGGATAGCCACAGGCAGTGGCGCAGCGGCAGTCATCGTTGCAGCAGTGGTCATAATGCTGGCCGTGCGAGTCTTGTTGGGTACAGGCCCGTACTCCGGCATTATACCTTGTCGCCTACGGCTGATTTGCAGGTCCTGGTCGGCGTCGCTGTCTTCTCTACGACGTGGACTTGGTTCAGGGCTGGAAGGGGGCATTCTGTACATGGATTGGGAAGCACCTCCACCAAATGTCACGGGGTGGTGACGTGGCTGAAGGCAGGAGACTAGATGGTCAGATCAAACTGTTTATTTGGGCGAACCTCTGCCTGATAAACAGAAATTCGGCTTACAGTAGCACACTTGCACTGATAGCGGTGAATGCAGCGTTGGTCGTCAATCAACTGACAAGCGGGGAAGGGTGTCGGCATTTATATGCACGCCTTTGAACATTCTAGCTTTATCGCTAGCGGCGACGTAGATTCTAGAATAATCTGAAATGCTCACGACGTGGGTGTAATCTCAACAAAATGATCTACGGCAGCCCTAAAGCTTTTCGAACACACTAGGCGCGGTTTGAGCTGAGAATCGCGTACAGCGTAACGGGGTGATAAAAAAACTTGAGGAAGGAACGTGGCAATATATTAGTATTTACGAGAATGCTTCAACAATGCTCTGAACTTCATTTAACGTGCAGCAAATTTAAGATCTCCCAACACACCAACAAGTTCTCTAAACTACTCCGTTTTTTTTTTGCTTTGAATATGCTTGCTGGCCGCTCCAAAACGGTACTTTTTTTGTTGCTCCAAAGTATGCTCCAAAATCTAAGAAGTCACTTCCATGACTGAGATATTCTATAGTACTTGGATTAAAGATTTTCTGAACAGTCACCATGAATTATGTGGCCATATATGTTAGTTAGCATGAACTGCTAGTTGGATCAATCACTGCATTGCAAGCAGCAATGTTTAATTCTCACGGGAGCTCTATTTGAGGAGCAATCGTTTGTAAAACAGCCTAAAGTCGTAATGAGCGTTCCAAACTGATTCGATAGTGCTATCAGTGACATGGCCCACATAATTAAATGTCCTTTGTGTCATTGTGTCATTGTCTGGTCTTCCACATCATACACTCATGCAGGTTAATGAAGCTCAGGGGTAAGGAAATGCAAGAAAACTTAACTTTTTATCCTAGGGTTAATATATGCGGACCAAGAATATCAGTGTAGTGGGATCAGGCTAGGCAATGCATTGGCTTAAATATCCATTTGAAATGTTGACATTACTTTAGCAGTTCATAAAAACATTTACATGTGCCCACTTCTGTGAACAAGCAGCAGTATATGCCAGAGAAAAATTGAACTCTTCTCAAGTCGCTTTCTGAGGTGTATGCCTACATTTTTTTGACAAGCTCACTCAAAATGATTGAGTTTTTAAATTCTTTGTCATCATTTGAGACAACGAAGTTTATCTTGCTTTTGTGAGAGTTCTGTTGCACTGCGAACCACGTAGGATTTGTAAGTTGAGTTGGCGGTGTGGCATTCACGTTTGTGGATGCCAGGCATGCCTGAGTTCATCCAAGAAGCTGATAGATAGCTACTGGGGTTCACTTCATTGCCGAGCGGCTGGCTCTATGCAAAACATTATCTTCATTATAGGTAATGTAAGGACGAACATCGATATCGGCACTCGGGTGAACATGTGGGCTGGATCCGGAAAGACAAAGGGAAGAATAACACCTGGCCTGGCATACAGGCATTATTTTATTTCTCTACTGTAAACAGGTCGTTCAAAGTTATGATTACAATTTATTTACTTTATTCAAGATATAGACTAAATGATACATACCGTAATTTTCTATATGACTAGCGGAAGTGAATGTTCTGATTTCGAGAGCAGCAGTAATTAGAGCATCAAAGCAGCACCATTAGCACGCAAAGGCCTCTTGAACAATACTGCTGATGGTGAAAGTGTCCAGTTTGAACGTAACCATAGACACTTTGGTAATGATGATAAACGATGATAATGTCACGGGTACAGA